TGCAGTTGTCAATGAGCTCTTAGCTGAAGAGGTTCGCCTTAAAACCCTTTCTGGAAAGGGTCTTCTTCCACTACCAAATCAGACTGTCTTGACTGCTCCTTCCAAAGTGACCCCTAATTCCCAAAACAAATATCAAGGTCGAGTTGCTTCTGATGAGTGTAGCTTCTGTCGTGAAAAGGGTCATTGGAAGGCCCAATGTCCAAAGTTGATAAACAAGAATGCACGAGGATCTCAAAATCAGTCATTTAAGTCCAGAGATCGTCGTACAACGGCCATAGCACCACCAGTGAATGAGTTAGCTTCATCAGCTCCCAACCTGACTATGCTTGCAGATCAGGTACAAAAGTTTTTCTCTCTTCATCAGTCTGGTGCTCTCACAATTTCTCCCACTATAGGTTTGTTCAGCTCAGGTCTTTCAGGTATATCTCGAACCGCCTGGGTCTTTGACTCAGGTGCCACACATTATATGACCAGTGACTCTTCTCTGTTTGCCTCTATTGTTTCTCCTCCACCTTTATCTGTCCTTGCTACCAATGGGTCTCACATGTCATTAGCTGGTGTTAGGACAATTATTTCTTCCAACCTTACACTTTTAGATGTCTATTATATTCCTCAACTTACTTCGAATTTTCTTTCAGTCAATCAATTATTTAATTCTGGATTTTTGGTTCATTTCTCTTCCTCTGGTTGTGTTGTGCAGGATCCACGGTCCAAGAAGCTGATTGGGACAGGCCGTAGACAGGGTGGGTAATATGTGTTGGAGGAGCTTCATGTCCCAGATGCTAATGCTACTACTTCTATTGTTAATTTATCTTCTTTTCGTTTGAGTCCAGAGTCATCTAGTTTTTATTTATGACATTATCGTCTTGGTCATGTTTCTTATTCTCGTTTAAAATTTTTAGCTTCGACTGGTAGTTTGGGTAGTTTAAAAAGCCATGATATTTCTGATTGTAGTGGATGCAAGTTGGTCAAATTTAGTGCATTACCATTCAATAAAAGTGTTGTTCTCTTGCACCATTTGATCTTGTTCACTCCGATATATGGGGACCGGCTCCTATTCCTACACAAGAAGGGTCCAAATATTATGTTTTATTTATTGATGATTACACGAGGTATTGTTGGGTATTCTTGATGAAACGTCGGTCTGAATTCTTTTCCATTTTCACTATCTTTCGTAACATGGTGTGCACTCTTACTTTCGATGTGCTCAGGGGGTGAATATACTCTTACTTCTTTTCATGATCTGTTGAAATCTGATGGTACACTTTATCAATTTTCTTGCACTGACACACCTGAGCAGAATGGTGTTGCCGAACAAAAATATCGACATATTCTAGAGACAACACATTCCCTTCTTTTATCAGCACATATTCCTAGCTCATTTTAGGGGGAAGCAGTTTTGATAGCAATTCATTTGATCAACACCATTCCTATTATGCTCACCTCTGGAGTCTCTCCATTTGAAAAATTATGTGGTTAGTCGCCTAACTATTTTTCTTTATGTGTATTTGGTTGTACCTATTTTGGTTTGCTCCCTAGTGTTCTTCGTAGCAAACTTTCTGCTCGTTCAACTTTATGTGTATTTCTTGGTTATGATGAGAGTCAAAAAGGGTATCGTTGCTATGATCCCATTACCCACAAACTTTATGTCTCTCGTCATGTTGTTTTTATGGAGCATATTCCCTTCTTTTTAATTCCATCTAGCTATTCCTCATTGAATAAGTTTGACCTGCTATACATTGGTCCCTTTCTTGCTAATGTTCCTCATGATACATATGTTAGTGATATACCTGTGTTAGATCCTTCATCTTCTAAGTTGCCTATTACTCGTTCCCTTATTGTGCATACATATGTTCGCAGGACTCCAATTATCTCCTCTCCTGATGCAGTGCCTGCACTTTCTCCTCCGGCCGCCCAATCAGGTTCAGACACTGTGGATCATACCCCACGCTATTCTCAGCACTCTCGCAAATGTCCAAACAGGTTTGGTTGGAGTAATACTTGTTATTCTTCTGACTTTTGTTTTTTCCTTATTTCTATTCATTCTTTATCTGAACCTTCCTCCTACAAGGAGGCTTTACTTAATCCACTTTGAAAACAGGCTATGGATGAGGAGTTGTCTACCTTACATAAGACTAGAACCTGGGAGCTAGTGCCTTTACCTCCCGGTAAACGCACCATTGGTTGTAAGTGGGTTTATAAGATAAAAACCAAGTCGGATGGTTCTCTGGAACAATATAAAGCTCGATTAGTAGCAAAGGGGTTTGCTCAGGAATATGGTCTAGATTATGATGAGACTTTTGCTCTTGTTGCCAAGATGACTACTGTTTGCACTGTGATTCCAGTTGCTGCAATTCGACAATGGAGTTTGTCTCAAATGGATGTGAAGAATGCATTTTTACATGGAGATTTGACTGAAGAGGTTTTTATGACACCTCCCCTGGATTATCTTATAGTTCTGATCAAGTATGTCGACTTCATTGTACTTTATATAGTTTTAAAAAGGCTCCCAGGGCATGGTTTGTCAAATTTTCTTCGGTTATCTGTGACTTGGGTTTTCGCACTAGTGACCATGATTCTGCTCTCTTTTTACGGTCTACTTTCTCAGGTTCTATTATTCTCTTATTATATGTTGATGATATGATTATTATGGGTGATGACACTACTGACATATGTTTATTGAAAACTCAGTTGCAGAACTATTTTGAGATGAAAGATTTGGGGCAGCTTAGATATTTCTTGGGTATTGAGATTGCTTCCTCTCCTAAAGGATATCTTCTTTCTCAGTCCAAGTATACTTCAAATGTTATTGGACAAGCACGTTTATCAGATAATCGAACAGTTGAAACACCTTTCGAGCTCAATGTTCGTTACTCTTTTTCTGACGGTACTCTCTTGTCTGATCCAACCCTCTATCGGACTATTGTTGGGAGTTTAGTATATCTTACAGTCACTCGTCAGGATATCTCTTATGCTGTTCACATTGTAAGTCAATTTGTTGCCTCACCTACCACCGTTCACTAGGCTGTTGTTCTTCGCATTCTTCGGTATCTCCGTGGTACTTTACATCAGAGTTTACTATTTCCTCACCCTTCTTCTATGAAACTCAGGGCTTACTGTGATGTTGATTGGGCTGGAGACTCTATGGATCGCAAGTCCACCACTGGTTTTTGCATGTTTCTTGGGGATTCTCTTATATCCTGAAAAAGCAAGAAACAAACTGTTGTTTCCCGTTCCTCTACGGAAGCTGAGTATCGTGCTATGACATCTACTACAGCTGAGATAGTCTGGTTACGATGGCTCCTTACTGATCTTGGCATTTTGGTATCTTCTCCTACTCCTATGTTCTACGACAACACCAGTGCTATTCAGATTGCTCATAACTCGGTCTTCCATGAGCGCACAAAGTACATTGAGATTGATAGTCACTTTGTGCGCCATCATCTGCGGCAAGGCACCATCATTCTCCCCTTTCTTCTTTCCACAATGCAGATAGCGGATTTTTTTACGCAGTCTCACACCATAGCCCGTTTTTGATTTTTTCTTGGCAAACTCTTGATGTTTTCCGCCACATCATGAGTTTGAGAGGAGGTGTTAAAATATATATAATAAGGGTAGTTTAGGCATTTTCTTTATGTTATGTTGCCCTACTATATAAGGGCTACTTTGTTTATTTCTAGGTTAATGATGTTCATTATAGACTTGCTTTTTGTCTAATAATATAGTCATTCTTTCTCTTCTTCATTATGTATCGTCATTGATTAAATCTATCAATTACAACCAGATTAACGATCAGCGGATATGGAGGTTTTGACTGAACCACTTTCCATTGACAAGTCTGACAAATATTGAGACGGTGATGATTCATTATGCAAGCTGAAAAGAAATAATAACCTTCTTCCACTACTATCACAAATTTATATATCTTTATGTGAAACCATATTTCTCTTCCTATTCTTGGATAGCATAGTCCTTTTTCCTCCATCATGGCAACTAGAAGTTGATTGTTTGGACAAATATATTGTAATCCAACTACCTCTGCTTTTTTACCAATGTGCAACACTAAAATATGGGGATCTTCCTTTTTTTTTTTCCATATTTCAAAGGGTTTCCTTTCCTTAGCATAAATATTGGCAGTAAAACTTTTGGTTAGTAAATGATTGGCCTACATTTCGGATTTTTCCACTGACAATAAAACCACAAGACATTGTCTATTATAGCTTTGCAAGTCAATTTTGGTCATGCCAAATAAAAAATCAACTCTACAAGCTTTTCACCTTGATAACAAATAAGATATTTCATTATTAAATAAGACCATCAGAAAGACATTGACAAATTCCCAGAAACAATTATTCATGAAATAATTAAGTGGAAAGAACGAGAGGCATCTGTTTGCACCTAGTGGAAAACCCTCATACTTCCACCCATCATTAACGTTGTGAGACAGTTCTCACTTCTCAAAACAGATATTAGATTTCTTGCTTCTCTTGTGCTCGTCATACTTGTTAACATTCAAGTTAATCACAAAAAATAAAAAAATCTCCCCATCAACATTCAACACCTTCATATAGGGTAAGTCTATCGCACCAAAAGAGGTATCATACTGAATTATAACTTTTAAGCAACAAACTACAACTTAAAAGTTATAACTTTTAAAAAACAAACTATAAATCAAAAGTTATGATCAATCATAAAATGTTTTAATCGATCACGAAAAATAAGAGTCAAAGTTACATCGATCATAAAATTCTATAATCTACCACAACATTTATAATCAATCACGAACAATCTCAATTAGCTATAATTCGGCCCTTAATATTGTATCTTAACCCTCGAATGTCCTCAATTTTCATACAAAAAAGATAGCTTACACATTCAAATTTGATAGTATAATGCATTTACAAATTGAAGCACTACTCTGATGGGGACTCACATACATACATATACGCATATTTGAATGCAAATTCCAAATAAACACAGAATTTACCGGTATGCATTACATATCTGAAAGTTCACTAAAATCAGTGCCAGAAAAATGGGAGGCGGAGAAAATGTGAAGAAAAATATTCACCTGCAGAAATTGAAGAGCTTTGGCATCTTCTTCAAGATTCCAATCATCATGCTATAAGGAAAAAAAACCATAATAACCAACAGTAAGCATATGCACAAATTACACATAGGTATATGCGGGCGGAGAGAGAGAGAGAGAGAGAGAGAGATTACAACGTCACCAACGACGGCAATGCGAACAGAAGTCGACATCGGTAAGTGATTGTTGTTGTTGAGCTGCGACGATGCAGGAGAGATAGTGGTGAAATATGAACAACGTAGAGGCGGCGCGTGAAGCCACGAGCTGCCGATGAACATAGAGGGTAATGTTATGACTCTTCTTTCACGCGCTCATGTCCAATTTATCAGCAAAAATCAAACCAAACCCAATGACCCGACCTGGCCAAGAGAAATTAAAGGGCAAAAAAAGCCAGTTTATATATATTATTTGTAATTTTTTTAATAATATTTCCAAATAATGACACACTTGAAGAGCATTGGAAAACACTTGAAGAGCATTGCCCATTTGAAGTTTTTATTAGGGCTCAAATTATATGACACAAATTAAATAAATTCAAATCAATTGTCATATCATTTGAACTCTAAATTTAGTTTTATAATTTGATCAATCTAGCATTATTGATTCTAATCACACTTACTTTTTAACCATAATAAATATTTAAACCATAATAAACACGTTAATCATGGTACACAAAAATAGAGGTGTTAAACATGTCGGTTTAAGTTATTTTGTGTCTGTTTGAATTTGAGTTTGTGTCAAAAATTCTAAAATCTGAATATAACCTGTTTAATAATCGTGTCGAGGTGTATAAACACTAAGCTGACCTAGTCATTAAATGAGTTACTCAAACGTTTAATAACCAAGTAGTTTTTGGGTTAGCACACATAACATTACATGTTTAATACGCATAACCTATTTTCACACATATTCATTATCATTAAGTACACCATTCAATCATTCATCAAAGGGTTAACACACATAATATGACATTTTTAACACATATAACAAGGACTTGTTTAATACACATAACATGTTTTTAGACATGTTCATTACCATTAAATACACCATTCAATCATTCATCCAAAATTACAAATAATTTTTTGATAAATAACATATCACATCTCATTAATAAAATTAACTAAAACACATTCAAATTTCAACACAAAAATTAAAGCAAAAACTATACTAGTATATTGTCATAATAATATTAAAAGTTATACTGTCAATTATCATAATAAAAACAAGAACTTATAAATAATAATGCTAAGATCACGTTAATCATATATAAAAGACAAATTATACTGTCATAAACAAGTTAAATTTACAATAAATTAGGTCAGGTTCATATCCGAAGCATATTCTCATCTTATCCCATTCTATACTCAAATCATACACACCTCGAATGAGCTCCGCCTCAAAAATAAAAAAACTCGCAGGAGCCAGAATAGTAGCACAAGAACTAATGAATGAGGTTCTTAATCTGTATGCTGAATTCTGTGCAATTAAGTCTCATCCTCTTGTAACCACTGTTCAAGCCGCAGGAGGTCCCAAGCTGCACACTCATGCCTGGTGCGAGTGCTGGCCATACCCCTAGGCAAGTAAGGCGCCTAAGGCCACCACTTGTCTAGGGCCCGTTTGTGTGTATTTCATAAATTATATTAATAAATTTAAAAAAAATAAAAAAATAAGATATTTTGTGCATTAATCAAGTCAAAATTGGATTAACCTAATTTTGACATGAACTTTTTTTGTATTTAAGTGTGTTGACCCGTTTTAACCCATTGACTCGTTTAATTTTATATCTAACCCATTAATTTTTTATTCAGTTCATGTTGTGTCGAAAATTGACAACACAACACAAAAGCAGAATATCTTAGTAGTAAAATTTATTTAGAAAACTTACTAAGTCTTTTTCACACCCAAAGAACAATTAATTAGTATAAATTTTCAGGAGAAGTAATAAATTCTTCTTCTTTTTTTTTAAATTATTCTAAACAAGTATACAATCTACTTGATAAGCAAAACAATATTTGGTGCCAAAGTTAGAATCTTACAATAGTTAGCACTCAATTGTGGTCAAATTACGACTTCAAAAGATTAGTTATAACTTAATTGGATCAATTTAAAAGTTTGAGATCAGCTGTAAAATGTTAAAGATTGATCCTAAGTCCTAACATTATCCTTATGTTTTAGTTTTGAGATGGTTGATCTAGGGGAGTCGTAGAAAGACGGTGTTGCGACATTAGACATATTAGTATTAAAGCCAGCACATCTATATTTATATCTATGCTATTAATAAAAGTACATTAACATGATAATTTTTTTGATTCACTATTTTATCCTTACAAGAAATTATAAAGGCTAACATGTCATTTTACATTTAAATATATAAATTACCATTATATTCATTTATATTTAAATAACAAACTAACCTCTAGCATATCATGTAAATTTTTCTATTTTTGCAAAACTTTTTGATGGTCATATTACTCTTAACAGAATATATAAAAATATTATTATTATTTTTTTTTTCAAAATTCCAATATTAATACTCGTCAATAACTTTATTGATATAACATCATCTCCGATGTCAAAAAATTTGATATATGTATCTTTTTTTCTTCATCCATAATACAAACAATTTAAGTATTATAAACATGAGATAATATTTAATTTAACAATATAATTAAATTTTTATGCATTTTATCAAATGTTTTAACAAAAACTTTCACCAACGTTTCTATTTTGCTCTTATAATAGATTACAAAAACTACTCGATCTTTTCACAATTAAATATCTAAATTATCATAATATTTTTATGTCTTTAAATCTCTAAATTGTCTATATCATCTCTTTTAATTATCTATTTTATATGTATAAATATCAGTTTCTATAAAAAAATTTGATTGACTATATTACCCTTAAAAATATGCATCATTATATTTTTAATAAATTGTTCAAAAAACCTTCAAAAACTCCATCAATCTAATATTATTTATTTCATATGCAAAAATAACATTATGTCTACAAATGTGTATTTGTTTTTTTATCAAAAAGTTTAACCCTTTCATTTCTAAGATAAAAAATAATCATATATATATATTTAAAAATCAATTTATGTTATATTAGTATAATTCTTTAGTCACAATAATATTTCTAAATTCTACTAAAATTTTATGAAAAAATATATATTGTAGTGTATTTTTAAGTAAAACTTAAATTTTTTAGAATTTTAATATGCTTGATAATGTATATTATAGAATAATATATTAAATCATATCCCAATCGACCTAATTAATTCCTACTTACAATAAAGTTTCAACGTGATTAGTATATTGACAATTACTTTTTATTTTATTCAATGAATTATAAGTGGAATCCTAATCAAAAGAATTTCAAAAAATTGAATTTCTCAAACATCACTAAAAATTCAATTTCAATCATAAAATTCAAAAAAAAAAAGAAAATAGAACTTTAACTACTTTTTTTTATCTTTTTTTATTGTTAGATCAAAAATTTTTGGTAACATATAAAGTTTCGTAATCGTATAATAGAATGAGCAATGAAAAATTAAGATTGATAAATTTGAGATGATATTTAATTCATATACACATACACATAATATGTTTTATTAGTTTTTGTGTACGAAAACTATTCACGTGGAGATGGTGTATTGTTAGTGATGATGCACAAAAGTGTATTTATGCACAATTAATCAGTTGAGTGTGATATAAAGCAATTAATGAAACAATTAATAATAAGAGATCAAGATTGGGTGGTTAAATCTGGTTGATCTAATCACTGAAAGGGGCACCGATAACTAAAGAACTTTAAGTAGAGGACTTATAATTTATAAGCACAAAATCTTAATTAAGGCGGTGACGTGAAGATCATGTTACTAGTCTTTCGAAGAGGATAACTATAATTAAGCATAAGTACTATTTTCGAGTAATGACTATTTCAATTAGTACTCCTTCACTTACTGACACTTTTTGAATTCTTGAATTTGGATCGAAAGAATAAACTAAGTCTGACATGTGTTTTGATAATTTGGTCTCGACCTACGGACTAGGTCAGGCCTAGGCTGAATCTGGCCTCTAATCATTAACTCATATCTACTTCTCTTTCCATAACCAGTTAACAACCCATTCTCAAACAACATTGGCCTAAATGCCATCAAATTGAGTCCTAACCTCTTATTTAAATTTGAAAAGCGAATATAAATTGGGTTAATCTTAAATTGTATTTTGAAAGATTATTTGAATTTTAATTTATATCTTCAAAGATAAAAAATTTTAATTTGCATTATTAAAAATAAAAATTTATATCATTGCACACCTCAAACTTACAGTTGCCGGTCTAAAATTAAATAGATAAATTATACCTAGACTCCCTCATTTATTACTTAATCACATAAACCCTTTACATTTTAAATATTATACCTACATCCCTTGAGAATTCAAATATGATTAAAAATGTTCTCTCAATTGGACATTTGAATAATTTTGTTTAAGTGATATATTGTATTGGATATAAAGAATATTATATAAATACTTGCATTATATTAAGCATTCAAATGATAAGTTTGATTTTGAATTTTAGTGTATAATAGACCCACAAAATAAATGGTAGTATGAAATTATAATTTTTTATTATGATAAAATTATATTTTTTAATAGATATATTAACAGATATCAACGATAAAGAGTTATGTGTTATATGTGCACAAATGTTAAGAGATGTAGGAATAATATTCTAAATACAAGTATGAAAGGATTTAAGTATAATTTATTCATTTAATTTTAGATGGCAAACTGCGGATGTTAGTTTTAGGTGCACAGTAATACAAATTTTTATATTCAAGAGGGCAAATTAAAATTTTTTATCTTTGAAGATATAAATTAAAATTCGAACGATCTTTCACGATATAATTTACAATTAACCCATATAAATAAATCTTATTGAGACATCCTATTTACTCAGCAAGCAAGAAACACAACCGTTGTCTTCAATGGCAACCAAAACCAAAGTTATCAAATCGTGTATCGGAAGGCGTATCGTAAGATACAAATATTGTATCGTATCGTGTATCGTATCGTGTATCGTAAGATACGAATCAATTTTAAATAAATAATAAAAAAATATATATACCTTTGAAAAAAAGTCATACACTCATAAAAGATATAACATTTCATTAATACTCCACCAACTATTCAAGTTATCAACATAATCCACTACTATTATAATGCAAAGTTCACAACCATAGTTCACTAATTCAAACTTTAAACACCAAAGAGACTTCTAATCCAAATTTCTAACATCCATTTTGAACTCAATCTTCAATTTCAATTGAAAATGCATCATCATCATCATCATTGTGATCGGATGCCAACAAGTCTTCACTTCCTTTATCATCTTCAACTTCTTGTATTTGTTCATCCTCATCCTCATCCTCATCCTCATCCTCATCTTCAAGTTGAACTATTTGCTTTCCTTTTTTCTTGTATAAAGTAAGATTTCTAGGCCCTACAAAGCAACCAATACAAAATATAAAAAAAATAAAATTCAAAGTAATGGAGAAGAAGAAAAAACAACCACTACATTTTAATTACCTCTCTTTCTCTTTTTGCTAGTCCCTTCTTGAACCTCAAAACATTCACCAACATTCATCCAAGTAGTGTCCTCAGGAAGGAGTGCATCTTCTTTTTCAGTGATCCACTCATCATCAGATTCCATATCTGAGAGAGAAATAGGATCATAGGAATCACCCTCTAGTATTCTCTTTTGGTGTCTTGCCTCCAATCGAAGATTGTACTTCACAAACACAAGTGCACTTAATCTTTGTTGCTCTAATCGATTTCTCCTCTTAGAGTGCACCTGGTCAAATGTACTCCAATTCCTCTCACATCCAGTGGCACTACAAGTCAAGCTAAGGACGCGGATAGCAAGTTGTTGCAACTCTGGACAACATCCTCCAAATGATTCCCACCACAAGGCTATAAAAAATTACAATAGAATACTCTATTAACTAACTTAAGCAGTTGCATTCAAATAACTAACTTAAGTTAAGTTACCACTAACCAGGTTGTTTCTTCTTCCTCATTTGGATTGCCATGTCCATTCCAAACATCAAATCAGCATTATGAAAGATATCTAATTGTTTATCAACTTTTTCTCTCATAATAGGACTTGGGCACATTCTCTGAATAGTCTGATATAGTCCCATCTTTATCTCATAGTCCGCACTACCGGTGTAATGAAACCTGAAATAATTATTTTGATTTACAATGATCATTGATCAGCATACAATATATAGATATAAAATGATATAAAAATTGAGAAAATTAAGTCTTACGCGGGATTGAGATAATAGGCAGCTGCATGAAGAGGTCTGTGTAATTGCATGTTCCATCTAGTGTCAACAATAGTCCATATGGGCTCATAGTGCTTCTTCACATTACGAAAATTCTTTTGGATTTGTTCCTTTGCCTTGTCCATTGCCTCATAAATATACCCCATGGCAGGCTTTAGATCCCCATCTACAAGCCTCAACACCTTCACCAATGGCAACACACACTTCAAGCAATACTTGATTGATCCCCAAAAATTTTGGTCAGCTAGTATAATATCCATCACTTTTACACCATCTCCCTTCTTACAATATTGACTTCTCTGCCATTCCTCAGAAGCAAACATTGCTCTAAGCCCAATTTTATTTTCAAATAAACTCCTTAAAGTTAAATATGAGGTGGCAAATCTGGTCACACAAGCTCTCACCAAATCCCTTTTCTTTGTATACTTTCTCATAAGATTTAACACCCAAGAATGTCTATAAATGTAAACTGTGATTTTCCTTGCCTTTGACATTATATCCTTGTGCAGAGGAAGGTCCCCAATATCCGTCAAAATGAGATCTAGACAATGTGCACCGCAAGGAGACCAAAACAACTTTTTCCTCTTTGCCATTAACAACTCCCCAGCTTTTACATAAGCCGATGCACTATCAGTTACAACCTGAACAACATTATCCTCACCAATCTCTTCTACCATTGAATCTAAAAGCTCAAAAAGATTATCCGCATTCTTACAAATACCTGAAGTATCAATACTTTTAAGAAACACACTTCCTCTAGGACTATTCACTAAAAAATTAGTGATAGAGCGATGTTTCCCATCAGTCCATCCATCAGACATAAGAGTACAACCCGTCCTTCTCCACTCTGCTTTATAATTTTCCATCAACCCACCATTAATCAAATTTGTTTCTTTTTTCAAAAAAGAACATCTCACCTCATGATACGATGGAGGTTTCAATCCCTTACCAAACGATGCAACAGATTCTAACATTCTTACAAAATATGGATCCTTTACCAAATTAAAAGGAAGGGCATTAGCATAAAAACATCTACAAATATCCAAGCATACATCTTCCCTACCCTTTTTCTTCAACATAGTATTCAAAGTAATTGTGGTGGTTGGCTGTATTTTATCAGCAGTAGTACTACCCACACTGCCACTACTTTTCGAATCCACAAGACTCATATCTTTGCTAATTGCCCTATCATCCAATAATTGCTTAAAAAATTCAGTTACTTCCTCAGGGCAATGCTTACACGCTGCTACATCTTTGCGATTACTTGCCAAATGATTTTTCATTCTTGAAATGCCTCCCCAATAGACATTTGCACAATGAATGCATTTCAATTTCAACCTTGATCCTTCTACTTTGTCACAATGTTCCCATGTGGGATCATTAGCAAGTTTTTTAGTCATTTCTATATGAAAATTGGATGCAGGTGATGCCACTGTTGCACAAAATTAAAATTAATCAAGATTCAGAAATTTTTATACAAAAAAATTTATATACATTTGGCTTTGTAAATAAATTAATATCATTACATACTGCACAGGACCAACGATCAATGGAGACTGGGAAGAAGAAGAAAAAGGAGTACCTGGAGAAGGAAGAAGGCAGCGATCAACACCCACAGTCGGAGACAAGCAATCACCCACAGACGAAGACCGGCAATCACCCACAGTTGGAGACCACCCACAATCGATCACCACCCAGACTCGAAGACCACCCACAGTCGAAGACCACCCACCCAGTCGGAGACCAGTCGAACACAGTCGAAGACCACCCACCCAGTCGGAGACCAGTCGAACACAGTCGAAGACCACCCACAGTCGAAGACCACCCACCCAGTCGGAGACCAGTCGAACACAGTCGAAGACCACCCACACAGTCGAAGACCACCCACAGCGATCACCACCTACAACGTTCACCACCCACAGTCGATCATCACCCACCCACAGTCGATGGCTGAAGAGAAACCACAGACGTCGTCGATAGACCACCCACACAGTCGAAGACCACCCACAGCGATCACCACCTACAAGTCGAAGACTTCCCACAGTCGATCATCACCCACCCACAGACGTCGGTCGATGGCTGAAGAGAAACGACAGACATCGGTCGATGGCTGAGAGAAACCAGACGTCGGTCGATGGCTGAAATGTCTGATATATGTGAGAAATGTCTGAATTTTTTTTTTGTAACCCTAACCACTGAAACGACGTCGTTTCAGTGGTTATAGGGAATTAAAAAAAAAATTCAGAGCACAAAACGATGTAGTTTTAAAAAAAAAAAAAAAAATTGCACGTATCGTGCGTTTCGTACCGATACGTATCGTATCGTAAAAACGTATCGTGTATCGGACGATACAACGCAAAAACGATACATAACTACGATCCGTATCGTTTTAAGGCTGTATCGTAACGTATCGTACGATACGTATCGCGTATCGTACGATACTAACAACTTTGGTTAAAGCTGCCTACTGGTTCCCTGACAGTGGTCTGGCGGTATCTGATATAGATTCAACCCTTTTCACTCACCTATTTTGTGCATTTGCAGATCTTGATCCCCAAACCTACCGAATTACAGTTTCCTCCTCAAACAATGCCCAATTCTCTCAATTCACAAAAACTGTCCAACTTAAAAACTCTTCAGTTCAAACCCTTTTGTCAATTGGTGGTGGAAACTCTGATAAGGCAGCTTTTGCTTCAATGGCAAGCAATTCTGCTTCTCGGAAAACCTTTACCGATTCATCGATAAACTTGGCCAGATCTTAAGGATTTCTTGGTCTAGACTTGGATTGGGAACACCCTCAAACGGCTTCGGATATGGTCAACTTGGGCTCACTACTAATTCAATGGCAATTGGCAGTGGCAGCCGAGGCAAAAAACTCCGGCAAGCCACCGTTGATTTTAACCGCGGCAGTTTCATATGCACCAACAGTTGATGAATTGATTTATCCAATTCAATCCATGTCAAGTGTCTTAAACTGGATCAATGTCATGGCCTATGACTTTTCTGATCCAACCCGGTCAAAATTTACTAATTCACATGCTGCATTGTACGACTCAATTGGTCAAGTTAGCGCGAGCTATGGGATTGGAGCTTGGATTCGAGCAGGAATTACTGCAAAGAAGCTAGTGCTTGGCATGCCATTGTATGGATATTCATGGCGTCTAGTAAATGCTAATAACCATGGTGTCTTGGCACCGGCGAACGGGCTGGTTGGTTCGGACAAGGGGGCCATTACTTACCAGCAGATCAAGGCGTTCATAACCCAGAACAGGGCCACAGCTGTGTACAATGCTACAATTGTGTCGGATTATTGTTATGCTGGAACAACATGGATAGGTTATGATGATAAACAAACTATCTCTACTAAGGTTTCTTATGCTAAACAGAAAGGATTGTTTGGTTATTTTGCGTGGCATGTTGCAGATGATTACAACTGGGCGCTGTCCCAACAAGGTTTGTGTGAATTCTGCCACATCATTTTATAGACTTTTAAATTAATGGGTTCAGATCATTGACTGGGATCGATACGACTTTCCATTTCGAATAAATCACAAGTGTCATGTGACTTGGTCAAGTCATCTAAGATGTCTCCAATTCAACCCAAAGTTGTTTTGGGTTATCATCATCAGCCGATGCCATGATATAGTCTAATCGTTTATCGTATTCCACTTCTTCTATCTAGCATTTTAAATGTATTGGTCAATAACATTACATCTCAATGCCATGTGAATCGGTGGTCGATATGGTGACCTTGAAACCACACTTTCGATCCTTTATGGTGGCAGCAAATTATGTATTTCAGAAGGCAATGATTGGATCTTGAGTCGGAAAATTTGAGAAAATTAGATCCAAATAGTATTATTGTGATCTAATTTTGTGTTTTTTTTCCCTGTGAATGCAGCTAAAGAAGAATGGGGAGCATACATTTGCAGATTAGGTGTGTGAGCCAGATACATTTGCAGATTTGCTTATGAAGGTGAACCAAAATAAACAGGATGGTGAAAAAATATGTAGTAAAGTCAAATGAGGCAAAGCGCTGAATAAAATTATCAAGTTTTAATTATGTCAGAGTTTTTTTGGTCCATTTGTTCTCTTTTTTCATTACTATTACTATTTATATAATAAAGTAGACAGTATTTTGAATCCNGTTTTTTATGTCCATTTGTTCTCTTTTTTCATTACTATTTATATTTATATAATAAAGTAGAGAGTATTTTGAATCCCCAAACTTATTTCAAGCATTTCGTGACTCGGATCAATTCTAAAGAAAAAAGAAATTAAATATTACGAATTATATTATCTCGAATTTNGAGTTTTTTTGGTCCATTTGTTCTCTTTTTTCATTACTATTACTATTTATATAATAAAGTAGACAGTATTTTGAATCCCCAAACTTATTTCAAGCATTTCGTGACTCAGATCAATTCTAAAGAAAAAAGAAATTAAATATTACGAATTATATTATCTCGAATTTTTCATGTATGAGATCACTTCAAATTTATTAATTCGACGAATAGAGTGTCCTTTGATATTTTGGTTTGGTATTGGTTTGAAAAAGATAGAACCAATTCCTTTTTGGATTGATTGGTTGTGATTTGGATTGATGATCCATTACAATATTTCACGATCAATCATTAATTTATATAATAAAACATAATATAATTCAAATCATAAAAGATAAACAAAATAATTTTTATTTTTCGCGGTTGAGATCTTTTTAAATTTTACATTAAAATTAATTTGATCATTAATGTTAACATCCTAAATTTAATAAAAAAAAATAGATATTTAAATATGTATTTAAAGTAATTTTTTAAAAATATTTGTAAAACTTATAACTTCTTCTAAGTACATTAAAAACAAAGTAGTGTTTGAAACTACCCCACCATTACCACGCCTCCCCCCTCAAACTGCCCTACCACCACCAAGGCCACCCCCACCGGCACCCTACCACCACCTCTATCGCAACCATAATTACCATTACTGCCACCACCATTCCCACCGCCCCACCACCATCATCACCACTACCACCACCCCTATCACCCCCCATTGCACCACCACCACCCCCCACTGCTACAACAACGATCACCATCACCATCACTGCCACCACAACCATCAACACCATCACCACCCCCACTGTCCCCCCCCCCCCCCCCCCCCCCCCNACCACTACCACCACCCATTACATTGTCGCACAGATGCACCTGTCGTCGCCTACCACCACCATAGTCACTACCCACCACCGTCGTCCCCTCATTACCACCACTATCACAATCACCCACCATCATTGCCAACCAAAACCCAAAACCATCATCACCGTTGTTACCCATGGCTGTCACCACCACCACCACCACCATTGCTACTGCTCACCTCCATTACAACCAGTACTTAAATTATTTTCTCTCTTCTCTATAGTTGAGATTTAATTTTGATTGTGAATACAAATATATTAATTGTTGACCCATTTTTTTCATTATTCCGTATCTTCAAGTGCGAGCAATAATTAGTATTCTACTGTTTAAAATTACCCATTTTCTTCCCGTTCCCTATCACCCTCTACAAATTTTGCAACACATGAATTTTTCTTGTCATTGATAAATTCATCGTCTAGTGAAACTTCTATTTTTACCGTATAATTTCATTGTAGTTGGACTGTCCAGTTTCACTATGCAAAACCGCTGCCTTTTCTTAGTAAATCTAATCAACTTTATTAATTATACATTTTATATATTCTAAATTCTAATTAGATCTCTCAATTAAATTAATTCTGTTTCCAAAAAACACCAAGTCTCATTTAAGTTCATCAATTATGTCAATTAATCTACCAATTCTTTATTTTGCAGCTAAGAAAATTAGTGTTAATTCTAAATAGGTGTGACAATTGTTGACACAACACAAAAATACGACTAGAAATTAACACGAAATTAGCTAGTTAGACTTAACAATTTATCGATACAAACCGATATATGACGTGACTCGTTAACACGAATAATAAATGAGTTGAGTTAGTTTAAAAAATGAATAACACAAAATTGTCACGATTAACGTATTTACATAGTATTATAAGAATAAAATGTCAAATTTTTATTATATTTTATCAAGTAGTGACTTAATTCTTGTACAAAAAAAATATATTTTTAATTATTTTTATTATTATATTTATTAAGTTAATTTTTAGTTTATAGAAAAAGTATAAGAATGAGTTCAAATAAGTGATAAGGAAATTTTAGACATAAACCTGAGCGTTAGATTTTTTTATTTTTGGGTTATATGGGGCAACATGAATACAATACGAAAATAAATAAATCGACATAATACGACACAAATAATTAAAGAGGTTGAATACTCGACATGAACGCGACACTACAACACGTTGGCCACCCCTAGGGACTATGTTGTTTTGTGGGTTTGGGGGGAATTGGTGTCCAGGGTCTGGGAAAAATAATTTAAAGAATCCCCTATGTTTGAATTAAAAATTCAATTTTTAGTTTCCAAACCTGACTCCCAACTAGCCCAAATATTAAGCTCATAATCATATGTTTCGTCAAACTTAGAGAGGGGTGGGTTTGGGAAAATGGGTTAAGGGGTTGAGAATATAAAATACAATTATACTCCTTAACATGAATATAAATTTGATTGATCAAAGGGCAAAATAGTTATTTAGAGAATAAATGCTTGTTAATAATTATGATATATTCGTGTGACCTACATATATATGTGTTACATTTCAAACATGAGTATGAACTAGATTTAATGTTGAATCTCATATTTGTAAAGAGTAGTTTAAGTTTGAAAGAATTTGGAGAAGTCAATTCAACCCCTCTCCAAAAATCTATTCAAACAAACCCCTAATGTTACACGTTACGCGACTTGACCATTGCCATAACAAATCACTTTAAATAAACTAATGTAGAATCTTGCCTGTTGAAATTCTAAAAAATCTAGACTTTTTTATCGCTTAATCTTTTATTTGGATAGAAAAAAAGAGAAATTTACGCTACCGAAAATACCATACCGGTATTACAAGTTTTGTAATTTAATTTTACAACTTGTAAGAGTCATTTATAAGTTTTAAGGATTATTTATAACATTTGAAGTTCATGAATAACTTTTGAGTTTACTTATAATTGATCCTAAAATTTAATTTCTAAAAAACCCATAAAATTTATAACTTGAACAATAAAAATTAAAATATGATCTCAAAACTTATAAATTTTATTTCATAAACAAATTTAAATATTTATATTTCAACCATCAAAATTTATAAAATTTGACAGTATGGTACCTAAATTGTTAATTTGATACCTTCGTCGACCCCTAACAAAAAGTCGTGTGATAGTACGCCCAAACGATGGTAATGACTCGACAGTATATGAGAACTCTTTCCTAAGTTCAATTCCAAGCAATTAGAAGGAATGAGAACNAAAGTCGAAACTGACTCGGCTGAAAAGTCTTTGAATGAACTTTGACTTCTTTGAAAAAAATAAAATCTACGGTATTGTACTGTTGATTATTATTTTTTATGAGTACAAAAATAATTTTAAAAAGTAGAGATATAATTGTTTAAAAGAAGATTATAATCGATCATAAATACTCATGATTAATTATAAAAATTTTGGTATCGATCTCAATTTTTTATGATCGATCACGTTCTTTAAAATTGTAACTTACACATCAAAAAAATTGTAACTTTACATTAAAAAATTATAATTTTTAATACGATACTGCCGACGGTACTATCGCCTTTCCCCTATGAAAAACA